AGCATCAAGCCAGCAGAATCATCTCACACATCAGAAGAGCAAGAAGCCTCCACATCATGTGCCACATCCCCGTCTTCTGCTGGATCTCATCCACTGTGCTTCAGAAGCTCCTGGAAGAAGATCTGAGTGCAGAAATCCCTCAAACTCTGACTGAAATGTACATCCACTTCCTGCTGATTCAGATCAACACGAGGAACCAGAAGTATGAAGAGAGAGATCCAGAGAAACTCCTGCAGTCCAACAGAGAAGTGATTGTGAAACTTGCTGAAGTGGCTTTCAAACAGCTGATGAAGGGCAATGTGATGTTCTACGAGGAGGACCTGATTGAAAGCGGCATAGACATCACTGACGCCTCAGTGTATTCTGGGATTTGCACTGAGATCTTTAAGGAGGAATCAGTGATTCATCAGACGAAAGTCTACTGCTTCATTCATCTCAGCTTTCAAGAGTTTCTTGCTGCTTTTTATGCAGTTTACTGCTATTTATGTAGAACTACTGAATCACTTTTTGATTCACTACATAATTTTCATACACGTGTATTCAGTAAAGTACAAGAAAGTGAAAATGGACAGCTTGATCTGTTCCTGCGATTTCTGCTGGGCATCTCACTGGAGTCCAATCAGAGACTCTTACAGGATCTACTGACACACACAGAGAACAGCTCAGAGAGCATTGAGAAAACTTCACTGTATATTAAAAACACCATTAAGAAGAACAAACATCTGTCCACTGAAAGATCCATCAATCTGTTCCTCTGTCTGCTGGAAGTGAAAGATCAGACTCTGTCCAGAGAGATTCAGGAGTTTGTGAAATCAGACAAACACTCAGAGAAGAAACTCTCTCCCGCTCACTGCTCAACAATCTCCTACATGCTTCAGATGTCGGAGGAGCCGCTGGATGAGCTGGACCTCAAGAAATACAACACATCAGATGAGGCTAGAAGAAGACTGATACCAGCTGTGATGAATTGCAGAAAAGCTTTGTGAGTTAAGTTCATATATTAAAATAAATATAGAGTACAATATAATATATATATATATATATATATATAGCTGCAGCAATGCTAAACACAATGCAGCGAAGGCACAGTGCTAAGACTTGCAGGGTTTGAACACCTAAATTTTGGTGTCGTGGTCCAGGGCCAAGTTTCCAAAGACCCCTTAAGTTAATAAAATATTTAGTTATAATTTTAACTTTTCAGCACTACCGGTTTTCTTATTTTGAGGGGTCTCTTGAAAACTTATAGAGCCTTGAGCAATGTGCCACACAACTGACAAATCTGTAACAAGACATCCCATGCTGGAAGTACAATATGATTTAGCACCAAAAGGTGTGAACAGATTGACAACATTTTAAAATCAGGTCTTGTGGGAATTGAGTGCGCTAGTGGTTGTCACACTCCACTGAGCATATCATGGCCAGTTTGCCCCTGGCTCCACCTACTTTAAAGTTGATATCTGATTGAGTTCAAGTCTTTTAGCCATCTAATATAAATTAACATGCACACCAGCATTAGCTGGCAAATTACTTTATCTGTATGACTGCTCATGTGGAGACCACATGTCATGTGATGTCTTTTTTGTTTTTTTTTGTTAAAGTCTACAAAAGGCATCAAATCTACAACACATTTCATTACACCAAATACACAAAATAATGTTCTTTTTAGCAGCATCATATGACCCCTTTAAAGCAGACAAATCAGAGAATAAATGATGGATGTTTATAGGACATGCATCTCAAAAGTTATTGATTTTATTAAGTCATATTTTGTATTGATGATTGTACTAGAGCAGTGGTACCCAACCCTGTTTTTAAGTCTTTTTAATTCAACACACCTAATTTGACTTAACAGCTCATTAGCAGAGCTCTCTAAAACCTGAAGTGGATCTGCCAGATTAGAAAGACATTAAACACATGAACTGTTAATGTGCCATCAGGCCCAGGTTCATAAACTGTGGTTCCCAACCCTGGTCCTGGAGGCACCCCAACACTGCACGTTTTGCATATCTCCTTTCTCTGACGCACCAATTTCAGGTCTTGAAGTCTCTACTAATGAGCTAAAAAAATAAGAAATCAGGAAGGGGGCCAACACTTTTTCACACCACTGTAAATATCAGTGGAATTCAGGATATCTATATAATTCAATATAATTTTAAAGCAAAACACACTTGAATGAATAATTTGCAGAAAAAGCAATGTGAGTGTCTGCTCTCTCTGCCATCTGTGATGTAAACAGCCTAGTTTTCATTTACTGGATCATTGGACTCAAAACTTAAAATGATCTGACTGGAAACAGAGGCAAAATCGGGAAAAGGGTTTACAATATAAATTGTGCTTTAGTATCTTTGCATTAATTGCGTAAAATTATTTTAATGTGTTAAGGATTTTTGAATTAATGAAATCATTTGGACACATTGAGGCATTCATTCTAAAACAGCTCTTTGCCTAAACCTCCTTTGTACATTTGAAACACTCACATCAGTCATCAGACACTGTGGATGACAGTATTTCAACCCCCACAATAAAGTTATTGTAACGTGGGGTTTGGGTTTTGTTTGTGTTTCTTGTTCATTGCTCTCATGTCTTTTATTTTGGAGTTTAGTCATGGTCCTTGTTCTGTCATGTGATTCCCTTGTCTGTGTGTTATGTTCTGATTTGTTCTTTGGTTCTAGCCCTCATGTTGCCATTAGGCTTGTTCGACTTCATGCGGCGCCGCAAAGATCGGCTGCCGCCTGTCAAAAGCAATGCATTTTGGTTAGAAAATTTTAGTGATGGCGAGATGAAGCCTCATGAAGCATTGAAGCTTTTCAGCCAAGTGTTTATTCACTTGTTTATTCAGATAATCCATTTCAGATGGAGCAGCATTTACTTCACAGAGCCGTAGTTCACTGAGAAGCTATGCAAACAGCTGTCATTATCGCGAATGATTTCTTCGATCAGAATTCAGAATCATGCAATAAAATCGTCTGCGATTTTTTTGCGTAACTTGTCAGTGAACTATGGCTATGTGTAGTAAATTCTGCTCCATCTGAAAGCACGTGATGATGATTTCCTGCTGATTACAGAACCGGCATTACTAACAAAATGCGCATGACAATCGCATTCGATTAATCGTGCAGCCCTAGTGGCTGGGTTTAACAGGGCAGAGGACTGCGCATTTACAAGATTCGAACCGCTTCCTGAACCAGTCAGGGCAAGTGAGGCTTCGGACGTCATCAATGACGTCATTGCTCTAAAGCGATACAAGCCTCGATATGTGCTTCACTGAAACCTGCCGGGATTTCTCGAAACACGCTCCGAAGCCTCGGCACAGAACGTAACATCACTAGAAAATTTGTCCGACTTTGTTCGGCTCTCCAGCCGCCTTACGATCACATGTGCCATCAAAGTACCGCAAGAGCAAAACGAGACCAGCCGCCTAGGTCAGGCAATGCAGTTGTTAAAAATCGGCTGCGAAAGCCTTGATGACGACACACTTTATTTTCATTGGTTAGAATCTGGAATGACAAGCACAACGTGTGTTGTGTGTTTATTCTAACAATTCAATTCCAATAATGCTCAAACTGTGAGAGCGTCACTAACGGGAGCAGAAAGTGTCCAACTTGACGTCTCCGCTTTTAATTCCGCCCCGACTGCAAGCGGCTACTCTTGCCAGCCGGTGGCAGGCTAGTGTAGTTCATCAACTCATGGACAAAATGTCGTGGCCTAATGGATAGACAGTTGGACTTGTAACCAAATTCTGAGTATGGGACACCATACTTGGCCACACGTCACTTCACTTAACATTACACATTTATATGATGAATAATTTGAGATCAAATGTTATAATGCTTTATTGTTGTTATAAATATTACCACTGATTTATTTCATTATTTTAATCTTTGTTTATTTATTTAGTCATTTAGCAGACACTTTTATCCAAAGCTTGTTCTGTGTGAGAAAGGCTGAGACTTGGTTGAACACAACTCGTTCAAGTGTTTTTGCAATGAAAGGTAGAAGGGAACCCGGTCTGTAGTTCTCTAAAAGAGTTGGGTTAAGAGTGGGTTTCTTAAGAAGTGGGGTTATACGAGCCTGTTTAAATGCTGAGGGAAAAACACCAGTGTGAAGGGATGTGTTAACGATGTGAGAAAACGATGTGTTTACAAGTGGAAATGCCACAATTTCATCTTTATTGAGCAATGGTGTCAACTGTCCCTTTGCACCACCTGGTGGTGATTTTGTGAAAGATTTTCACATGTGACTGGGTTGTACACACAGCAGTAATAGGCATTTTTGTTGACTACCTACTGTAAAGCCTGTGAAACACCAAGCTGACTTGTACACTTTGGCCAGTGATGAGCCATTTTTGGGCATCTGTGGACTACAGATGCAGACTTTATGTGTTAGTTAGCTGTTGGCTGAAGTTGGCCTTCGTCAGTTTGGTGTCTGGGCTTTGAAACAATGAGGGCCAGAGTATCCGTTGTGCTCTGACAGAGCTAGGAAACTTGTCCATTGTTCCAAACATGCTCATTAATGAGTTTTACATTAGTTTTACTGGACTACAATAATATGTGAGCAGCGTGAATGTACATATTTGTGTTTTTGAGAAAACAAAGTTGTTGTGTTTCAGTGGTTAGTGAAAAACTAAAATTTTAAGTCACTGAAATAAGGCCATAAAACACACACAAAATATTTGTTCACAAGACTTTTGAGAACTGGATGTGGTAGACTGGAGTTTCTGCTACAAAATGTTGTGAAAATGGTCCTATTCACTGAAAACAATATATTGATTTAACTTTTGTAAGACATGATTTGTGTTAGAAAGGCATATGCAAGGGAGTGACAATGGCCATGAATATTTAGTGATCCACACCTGAGAGACAAAGGGCCTCCCATAATGGGCCATCAATATGAAAGTGACTGAGGCAGGTAGGAAAGAGTGTGAGGAGAGTAAAATAATGTGGGTTTTGGAATATTTGTATTATTATTATTTGTATTTTATTTACAACACAGTATAATAAAAATATACACAGTGAAGGTCAACACTGAGACTTGAACAGTAACACATCTTTGTGCCAAACATTCATAGATTCTAATATCATAGTGTTAACACTCGTACTACTTTTATATATTGTGGTTTTATATGTTTGTAACAAAGTTCGTAGATCGGGAAGAAGGAGGCGGGAACCGGCGAACATTCAAACACAAAACTTTAATAAATAAACACAAAATGAAAGTAAAAGCGGCAGCCCCTCACGGACGACTGCCGCATAAAACAACAACATAAAATCCAGGCCTGGTCCTCTCTCGTCCTTCACTGTCGTTACTCCTCCTTTTATCCTTCCGGAGCTCCTCTGTGGGACTCAAGACCGGTAAGTGGCGCAGGTGTCGCTCATTTTCATTTACTCCACCGGCCTCGCTCCGCTCCCACAGCTGTCGGCCCTGCCCCACTCGTCACAAACCCCATGGGGGAAAACATAACAACAGGGCAGACACGGGGGAACATGCAACAACAAACTAGCACAGGACAGAAAACACTTGGAAAATAAATAGGGAAGCAAACAAGGAGGACAGGTGGAGCAACTGAAGCAATAATCAGGTAACAAGATGGGGCAATAGACAATAGACATGAGCACTGTCGTCACTCCTCCCTTTTATCCTTCCGGAGCTCCTCCGTGGGATTTGAGACCGGTGAGTGGCGCAGGTGTCGCTCATTTTCATTTACTCCACCGGCCTCGCTCCGTTCCCATGGCTCTCGGCCCCGCCCCTCTCGTCACATACTCACAGCGCCCCTTTGCAGGCCGGGGGTACTCCCGAGACTGCGCTCTACTCCCCCTCCCTCTCTGGGGGGAGCCGATCACGGCGGCCGAGGCATACCTGGGGGTAAGGACAGACAAGGCGAGAGAAAAGGAGACGGAAGGATGAGGAGAGACAGAGACGAGAGAGGGGACAGAGGAAAAGGAAAAAAAAAATTCTCGGTCCGGTTCCCGGACACACTGTCGCTTGGTCCTCAACCAGCTGAGAGGCTCTCACTCGCGGTGCCATGCGATGGTACTGGACATCTTTGGTGAACGGCCCGACGCTCCTCCGCCTCCTGGCGGATGGCGATGGCTACTCCGGTCGAGGGCAGCCGGCAGCGAGTCCCCCGTTCCCTGCTCCTCCCCAAACATGGCGGACGGCAGCAGGCTCCGGCATCTTGGTGAACGGCGCCGACTCCTCCGCTCCCTCTCGGACGGCAGCCACCCCTCCTCGACCCAGGAGCATGGCAGCGAGCCCTCCGTCCCACCTCGTCTTCCATTGCTCCAGCACCACCGCCTCAGGCAGCCACTGGCTTCTTCCTGCTGCCCCATCTCCTCAGCACCGCGACCCCCCTCAGCAGCGAGGGCTCTCTGACAGGGTGTCCCTCCTTCTTCCCGGGTTTCGGCACCAATGTAACAAAGTTCGTAAATCGGGAAGAAGGAGGCGGGAACCGGCGAACATTCAAACACAAAACTTTAATAAATAAACAAACACAAAACAAAAGTAAAAGCGGCAGCCCTTCACAGACGATGGCCGGATAAAACAACAACATAAAATCCAGGCCTGGTCCTCTCTCGTCCTTCACTGTCGTCACTCCTCCTTTTATCCTTCCGGAGCTCCTCCGTGGGATTTGAGACCGGTGAGTGGCGCAGGTGTCACTCATTATCATTTACTCCAATGAGACAATGAAATGACATATTTCATACATGTAGTCAGGAATTATAGTTTGGGAAAAGTCTAACTAGTAAAATGTGTACACAATAACAACAGATGCAAGTAATCTTAGGCTACTTATCAGAATGATGTCCTCCACTGGATCAATCTGTGCGACGCATCGCGTTGTGTTCTTCTGAGGTAAATTCTGGGTTATTCTTCTCAGCACGTCTTCTTCCAGAAACAGAAAGTAGCCGGGATGAACTCTTCACATTTGTTTACAGGGGTGGTGTGGGCGTTTACATGTCGCGCGTCTCACGTGGATGTTTAGAATTTGAAAAGCGCGATCAACTCGTGGGCGTGATCGCATTAGAGATAATGAGTTGAGACGGGAAAAACTGGACATAGCGTTGGTTTCATACGGATTACTTTATCAGAGAATATTTGTTTTGGACGTGACTTCATTTAATTTAAAAAGTAGGCAGACTTCAGTAGACTTAATTTAAAAGTAGGCATTTCAAGCTTTCTATACATATATTTCTCGTGTCTTTGAGGCAAGTATTCGCTGAGATTCAGGTTGTTTTATTTACGTATCTGTGAAGAGAGGTGACAGAGACCGAGGCGGCAGAGAGCGCGCCCTGTTTTTGTTTATTTTACAAAAGCACACTGTTTTGTTGTTATAATGACTATACACAAATAAAAGTAGACCCTTTGCAGTTTCAAACGATACCTTATTCTTATCTGTATGATTAAAAAATAATGGAGTATTTTTTGTTATTTTCACGGTCACCAAGAAAACACGAGACAGACTGCACTGGTGCGTGCTTCGACCCCAGAGGGTTAAAATCCTATGAGGGAAGACCCACACGCTCCGTCATAGATCCAAGAGAAATAGTAGTAAAGATAAAATACTAACAAAAAGAGTAGGAGCTTGATCTTTAATTATTGAAACAATTTTGTTCCGTCCTAAATTTGTATTTCATTCTCTTTCAGACTTGCTGACTCTAATCTCACTGATCAGTGCTGTGAAATTGTAACTTCAGCTCTGCAGTCATCAAATTCCCTGCTGAGAGTGCTGGACTTGAGTAACAATGACCTGCAGGATTCAGGTGTAAAGCTGATCTCTCATGCACTGAAGACTACAAACTGTCACCTGGAGATACTGAGGTGCTTAGAAGTGTTTGAAAACAATTATTTTTGTGGACTCAAAAGCATACTCAAGGCTGAACACCAATATCAAGTCTAAAGCAAATTACAACATTAGGGTCCAGGCAATAAGAGCTCACAACCAGACCAAAGGGAAAATACTGGTACACAATACAAAATTTAATTACTTTCTGTTTGTAGATTATCTGGCTGTATGGTGACAGAGGTAGGCTGTTGTTATCTGGCTTCAGCACTGAGATCAGCAACATCACACCTGAAAGAGCTAGATCTGAGCTACAATCGCCCAGGGGATTCAGGAGTCAAGCGGCTCTCTGAGAGACTCAATGACCCAAACTGCACACTGGAACAACTCAAGTATGTCAAGAATAATTTAATTTAATTTAAATGTACAGTTTAAGGACTAGGGTAATCATATTAGCCACACTAATGTTGTAAAACCATAAATGTTGGGTTGTGATGCATTTTTAATGAATTATTTTCATAGAGTAACTTAAATTGCACATGAAATTTACTTTAGTCTTCTCTGGCTTTTCCATGCAGTTTTACAAAGTAACAATATCTCTCTGCAGTGTTTTTGCGTGTGCACTCCACACCAGAAAAGCATCATCTCCATGGTATCAGCTGAGGCACTGTATGGTGCTATTAGATAGATAGATAGATAGATAGATAGTTATGACTCTTTGGTTTCATTATTTGTGTTCCTTTAGTCTGGACCATAATGAACACTTCAGAATCACACCAGGACTGTGGAAATGTAGGTACTCTTTGCTACTGTCTTTTTTACAGACACATATTCACGTCATTTTAGATGCTAATCGCTGTTCTTGTGTTCAGATGCCTGTGATCTCTCACTGGATCCAAACACAGCAGACATTCGTTTATCTTTGTCTGAAGAGAACAGAAAGGTGACATATATGAAAGAACCACAGCCCTATCCTGAACATTTAGACAGATTTGATAGATGTTCACAGGTTCTCTGTCGAGAGAGTCTGTTTGGACGCTGTTACTGGGAGGCTGAATGGAGCGGTAGAGGTGCTTTTATATCAGTGGCGTATAAAGGAATCAGCAGAAAAGGAGAGAGTGATGACTGTATGTTTGGATGCAATGAGAAGTCTTGGAGTCTGGACTACTCCTTTAATAGATTCAGTGCCTGGCACAACAATAAGGTCATTTACATTTCTCCACCGTCGCCTCCCTCTAATAAAGTAGGAGTGTATCTGGACTGGTCGGCCGGCACTCTTTCCTTCTACAGTGTTTCTGAAGCACACACACTCACACACTTACACACATTCAACACTATGTTCACTGAACCAGTCTATGGTGGACTTGGTATTTATGATTCTTCAGTGTCTCTTTGTCAGACTCCACACAAACAACTGTAAACTGACTTGCAAAAATGTCTTTTCAAAGCTCTAGTGTTACATTTTTCAACCTTGAAAGATATATGTAAGATAGTTATGTAATGGTTTATTTTTATAGCACCTTTCTGTCAAGTTCCTGTCATTTGCAGATAACACTGAACTATACACTGATGAACGTTTTGAACCAAATATGTCTGACTGTGTTGTAGCATCCATGTCTGGATTTTAATTTAAACATATTTCACTTTTTGGAAAACCACCTTTGTAACAATCTTACAAAATTTTATCAGTTTTCCTTCAAGTTAGTGTACATGGAAAATATAGATCGAGTCTGTTTCTCAGACATGACTTATGTCCTCTTAGTCTACAATTCACGTTCTATAAAAACACAATAAAAACAAAATTAGGTTAAAACAATATTAGGGAATCTTAGGTATGTCACATATACTGTTTCCATATATACAGATGGGTAAACAGCATAAAGTCTCTCAGTACAATACAATGTTGGGGCCCCATGTGCCACCAGAACAGCTTCAAGGTACCTTGGCATTGATACTACAAGTCTCTGGAACTCTACTGGAGGGATGAAACTCCCTTCTAGCATTTGATGATTGATGATGGTGGTGGAGTGCACTGCCTAAAATGCTGCTCCAAAATTTCCCATAGGTCTGCAATTGGGTTGAGATCTGGGGACTGCAAAGGCCACAGCATATGATTCAGATAATTTTCATACTTACTAAACCATTGAGT